CAATTTCGCAATTTTTTTGTGCAGGCCTATTAGAGACTCTCTATTTTTAAAAAGCATATTCTATCATTTTGATAGCATCTATAAATTTAGAGAGTTAAAATTTTGAAATACTCCAACAAGTTCTTTATATTTAATACTTAATTTTACTGCTCCCAAAAAATATTTTTTATTTTTCTTTATATTTTATTTTAACTAACTTTTATTTATATTATTTTATTGTTTTCCTACATTGAAAATTGAAACATTTTAAATTTATTTAATTATAGAGAGTATGTTTGGCTCTCAAAATTTAGAGAATCAAATACACTCTCTAAATTAAAATGTTAATTTAAAGAGTCTTTTAGAATATAATTTTAAATGTTGACTCTTTAAAATAGAGAGTATCTCATATTTAAAGAGTTTTTTGGAGATACTCTAAGACATGTAGTAGATATATTTGTGNGGATTCTACAGGGAAAGGAGAAAGAAAAGTTATTGATGTGATGAAAAATATTATTTTATTGAAAAATGTGTGGTTGAAAATGAGTAGAAAAATAATAATAAATTTTTTAATGTGGCTCCAATTGGGGCTAAGTAAGAAAAATCATCAAAGATGAAGTAATTTCTTTTACATATGCGAGGTCAAGCGAGAATCTGGCAGATCCTTTTACAAATGCTCTTACTAGAGAGTTAGTAATATAGACATCATGCAGGATATGATTGAAACTTCTTGTTAGAATTTAGGTGTAACTTGAATTCCTTATTGAAGTGCACTTTGGAATGTTATTGGAATCTTATGTCAAGTTGAAATTTTATTTTGGAAGCTCATTAGGAGTTATAATTTGTTTTGGATTCAATTTTTTTTGTATCCTACTTTATCAACAACTCTACTAGGAGGGTTTGGACATCCCCTACATGTTCCTTATAAATAGTAGGCTCCTCTATACAATTTTATATGGTGTGAGAAAATAGATTACTAGAATTATAAGATCTATTATAATTTTCTGTGTTCTCTATTATTCTCGAATCAATAAAATCTCTTAATTCATTTGTCATATTCTTGTATTTATTATTATTTTGTTTGATTATATACTTCATTATTAGTTGCCATATAACTTCAATCTCAATCCGATAGTTTGTTTCTCAACAATTGGTATCAGAACAATTCTGGTATTTTCTTTGTTTTACAATAATTAGTATCAGAATTATTCAGGTATCTTGTTTGTTTTACAACACTTCTTAAATTAAAATCCTCCAACGGCGACTTTCCTACCTATCATTTAGTAGGTATCTTGTTTGTTTTACAACACTTCTTAAATTAAACTCCTCCAACTGCGACTTTCCTACCTATCATTTAGAAATGAGCAATTCATAGGTTCAAAGGGTAACAACAAGTTATTCAATAAGTGGACGATTTGCAACACATAATGAAGTTTAGTATTTGGCACAAGTGTTGTAAATGTAACAAAGGCAATGCAAGAACGTCGCCTATATAAACTTAGAAGTGGTGCTGCTTCAAATGAAAATTGGATTTATTTTCTTAAAAATGGATAAGCGCGTGAACTTTTAAAGCGCTAAGTATGATTTGTGTGTAAAAAGTAGAACTAGAGTGTTTATGTGTTTGATATTGTTGATATTGTAAAAAGAAATAAGGGATTCAAAGCTTAAAGCTACCCGGGATTTTGGATGAAGGAAAACATAGTAGAAGGGGGCTCTCTTTCCCTCTGTTTCGTGGAAGGAATTTTTCATGTTTTGCATGAAAATGTGCCTATTCATCAATGGGGTGTGCCCTTTGGTGTTTTTTTTTATGATTAATCACTTTAAATTGATGATAAATCATAACAAAAACATCCCAAGTTCTTGAATCGAAGTATATCAATTTCTAAAACCTAAATTCAGGTTTTTTTTAAATGTTCTTTGTTCCTTTTTACGGATTTCATTTGTTCTTTTGCAACTCGGTTCAAGGTTTGAAAAATCCGCTAATTAAAGCTATTTGTTTGGAGTTCCTCGAGCATCACAAATTCAACGAGTGAGAGCAACTAATGCTTATACGACATCTTCATTTTAATTATTGCAGCGAAGTTTTTCCCTGCCGACGGTTTGTTCCTTCATTGGCCAAACTTAATCCCGTCCGCTTCAGCTAAAAATCTGAATTAAAATCTAAATCAAATCAATATATAATATCGATTCATTATACTGATATTGAACTGCTACAACTTTTGAATGAAATATGTATCATGCATGAAAAATTATGAAATTTATTATCGTGCACCCTTGTACATGGATCGTGGATATCGGCTTTTATAATAGTTAGTCTAAATCATTGCACCAAAAAGGAGCATAACGGCCTTTTTGATAGGTGGTCTTGGCCATTATGCCAAAAGGATGGACCAAATTTGTAGGCCATTGTACTAAAAGGGCCATCATTTCTAGCAAGACATGCTGAATTTTCTTAGACAGAGTGATTCGTTTGAGGAAAGAAAAATATAAAGTAACTTAATGGTACTAAAATAAAAGAAGTGCAATGACTCACTTGAAATTGAGTCAATAATCCACTTAAAAACAAGTTCAAGGACAAAAAATTTAGTGACTTGTGGATCTTTGATTTATAAATGTTCTAATTACGTACATGACATTACAAACTAAGCACAAGAAAGTAACACAAGGATAAATGTTGAAATTCACAACTTCGATCCACCTGGTGCTCTGATCGATTAAAATACAATCTTCAGCGTAAAAGTTTCCGTAAGCTTGAAAATTTGTACACATGTAAATTTGGACGGTATCAACACTAATTTAAGCTCAACCATCTTACCAAGATTAGTGGTCTAGTCAGGATATTCAAAATATTAACCAATCAACTTAGCTTACATGCTAAGCATTGTTTTCGTCATTTCATTCTTCCATACATGTGTGGATATGTGTAGAGATGTAAGTTGGATTGTACATTTTTGACGTTCAAATCAGCCCGTCAGGCCTTTCTTCTTTAATTATTCTTAAGATTATAAGAACTTATCGTCAACTTTTTTTAAAAAAACAAATAAATAAATAAAAATAAAAGGCCCAACTTGAGTTGCGAATTTTGTAAAGCTATCATCAATACAACTTGACTCGTTAATCATGTCGGCTTGACAGCACAACTCAATTGACACTTTTAGATGTTTAGAGATGCTAACTTGACACTAGTCTTGTCTAAGTTATCTAAATGTAGAAAAGTGTCTTCCCACTTTCTTATGTTGGTGCATAACAGGGAGATCAAAGCCAAATTATATGCCATTCAAATCATCAATGGACAAAAGGCAAGTATGGGATCTACATGCTGTACCTCTGCTTGCCACCAACTTATGTTCAAACTTCATGGGACCCTAATTTTTTGTGCCAACAACTATTGTGTTTTTTTCTTATATAATTCTTTCTACCACTTATAAACTATATATGTATGTTTCATTTGTCATATATATGCATCTCTTATAATTATATTAATATATCCCTAGCAATTATTTGCAAGATTATGTCATGTCATGTCAACTAGGATTAGGAATTTATGTTACTTTAATTATTTCTTAATTTCATGTCCATCGTAGAAGATTTTTTGCTATGCCTAGCAACCATCACGACAATAGAGATCGACTATTTATCTTTTAATTATCATATATATAGAAATTAATTATCACACAAAACAAAGCTCCACAATGTCTTTATTGAATCTAATTTTGATAATTACTTTACCATGTTTTAACCCCAAATTTGATCTATTATACAAGAATATTAGATGCATATAGTCCTTAAACGTAGCTGCAAACAAAACAAAGAATATCGCCGATTAATGTCGTTCGCAGTCTTTTAATTCATTTGAAGGTTTTTCGACAATGGAATTTGAGTTTTTCATTCCAAATACTTTAAAAATAGTGTCATCGGGTGTGAATTTTAGTATCATATGGATACGTATAACACAAAATTATACGAAATAATACTCTAAAAAGAAAATTTAACAGAACATAGAAATCAGCTAGCATACATATACACTATTTTATTGAGATTAATTTCTCTTGATCATCAATGTTGTTTTTGCTGTATATGTACCAAATCTTCAGATAGATGTCTCATTATGACTATTTTCTGAAATGCATAAAGATAGTCGAATATGAATCGATGCTTTCAAATTTCCAACAGCATCTTAACATGATTATTACTTCACTCAAATTGTATATAGTGTTGTCAATTTTCTGTTTGTATTTCCTGTTTTTGTTGATTATTATTCAGATGCCTTGTTCTCTTGCCTGTTCACACCTTTATCCTCCACTAATGCAACTTTACATGCTATGTTTCGACTTATGATTCGGGGGTTTAGGTATTCATTTGTAAAATGTGGTTCGAAGAACTATATGAGGAACAATTCGGCATAAATTCCACTCTCGAAGAATTTCAACTCCATTGACAGCCAAAATTTCGAAAAATTCCATCAATTAATGACCTATATTTTTAGGCAAGTATGGTCAAAGAATTGGATTCAGTATGATATTTTCCTCGTGATATTTTGTACTTCTTAAAGGATGAAATAATGTATTGTGCAGGAGAAAAGTGAAAGTGGCGATTAATGGAAATCTACCGGGATTCCACTTTGAATAGCCAATAAAGAACTCATGTTATTGGATGCGCGCAGTAAAGAGAAGTTCATGTATATAAGATTTGTTACACAAGTGCAAACACTTTCAAACAAGAAGAATAGTAAAAAGCAAAAGCATAAGAAACACAAACTCCCAAGCATAAAAGTATGAAGAAATAATGGACTTCAATGGAAAGAATTCAAGCATGCTGATCATTCAGAAGAAGAAAAACACAAGGAAAACTCTAGGAAAGTTCAACTACTATATAATTATGGCTTCAATTATAACGATATGGCATTGTATCGAATTTGAGAATAGCTCGACCAAGAAATCTATAAATCACGATGATAAGTGAGGAATGTTGGGGCAAACCACAAAAGTTTGAGTAGAACCGAAAATACTTGATGTCCAGTATTAGGGTTTCCATACTGATGCCCATACCACAGGTTCCTCTTTCCATGTCAAGTATAATCCTACATCATCTGCTCCTGCAGGTAGCACAAGTGACCATCCGGTCCGGTATCTCCTAAGCAGTGCATTAACATCATCGACAACATCATCGCTGTATCTGACCGGGACGAAAGCCTCCCGGAGCTTCACTGACCACTGGCTTCCTCTCTCTCTTCTCTCACTGTCTCCTCCATGATCAACTTCATCATCACAAGCCAATACACTAACTATGCTTCTTGAACACTCTCTCTCTAGCATCAATCTCTCATTGCTTGTAGGTGCAAAGCTTTCCTCTAGCATATCAAAATAGATTGTGTAGAATCTAAGGCATTCTTCAAAGCATTTGACAAAATCATTTCTTGAGCTTGAGAAATCAGCCTCTTCTTCCACAACAGTCACAACTTTAGGCCTAAGACTTTGGATCATTTGAATAAAAGCCCTTCTTTCTTCCACATCAACTCTTTTCAGTGCCCCAATGCAATTCACTGCAATAGCTTCATCGTCTTGAACACCTAGGCTGTCCTTTGTCAACTCTCCCAAGAAATTTAGGCCATTCATTACCCTAAACTCAAAGGGCACCCCCATTAACCTGGCAAACTTCTCCATCCTTGGAGTTATCTCCTTCATTACGGATTCCACGATGCTCGTTGTCACAACCACAGTAAGCTTTAGATGGGGCGTTTCATCGTTTCTTGTGGCCAAGGCTTCCAACAAAGTTGGCCATTGAGTACACAAAGTGTTGCTGATATCAATTATATGAAGTTTGTTCTCACCTTCTAAGGCTTCCAACATAGCCCCATTTGATGCAACATGGCCAAAAGTTGTCCATGGACTCACTTCTTGAAATTTCAGTATCAATTTCCTGACAGAATCAAAAGAGTGGCTCTTTTCTGCTACTGAAATTAGGGTTTTGTAACATCGTTGCCCGGAATCCGTTGCCTTACAGAAGAGGGATTGCAAGAAATAAAAAGCCAGCTTCTGATCACAATCTCCATATGGAGATGCAAGTTCATTCAACATCCATAAGAGGTGATGGATCTTAGTAGAGTCCTTCTCAGACATGGCTGTGGCACACTCTATAAGCAACCTTGATGCCCACTTTCCATCTGAATTCTCCCCGGAATCCGGTGACCGGAGTCCGGTTATGTTGCTTTCTTGAGGCTGTCTACAATTGGTGCCTTGCATTTCTAGGTGAATACCATTGTTTTGAGGGTTGGTAACATGTAAGAAGGCAGCTTCTTTTGAACTGATAGAATTAGTTCTATCCATCAAATATGAGAAAAAAAAAACCTAAATAAGAACTTAGGAATTAGAAGGCCAGTTTGATTAGTTTTTATAATTGAGGTCCTTGTCAATGAGGTTTAATTATGTATCAATTTTTTGAGTTTATTTTAGAGAAAAATCAACATATTTATTACATAGACATGATATGATCAACAGCAGACTACTGTTCTCCACACACCATGTTGGTGCAATGACAAATGATGTAAATTTGTATTGGCACTCTCAAGGAAAAATAATAGTACTAAAAAATTAACGATGAAAATCTATATAAACGTTGTAGTGTTGAAAATATAAATAAACGAACAAAATTCATTCTCTTAGTCACTTGAAATTCAAGAATAAAATTGATCGTTAACGTAGAATAAGTAACCGTACTGAGTTCCAAACTCTTCGTCCATTCGTAAAACTATTATATTTTTAACAGAAAAGAATAAATTAGGTCTGCACCATAAAGGTTGTAACAATAAAAGTAAATAAAATTATTTCTTTAATAGTTTGAACAAATATCTAACAAGTTCTCATAAAGAAGACAAAAGGAAAATGTCAAATTTAATTGAATTCAATATATATCTATGTATAAAGTACAATTAAAACAAGCAATATCCCATTTAGGTAAATATTCTTAATTGGACTTCTTTCACACAAGAGGCAAGAGCCGCCTTCTTGTTGCGGGACAATTTCATAGCCATGAGACACGAAGCTCAGAAATTAGCTTAATTCAAAATCTATAATTCGCAACTTATTAATTAATTTGATTCAAAGATGGAATTTGATTGGAAAAAAAACGAATTGCAAGGAATTGAATTGTTTAGAACTTGTTTTATTGGAAATTGTCAATTAATTGTGTTTGATTGGTATAATTTTTCACCTGGAAAATGTTGAAATTTTATATCTTTTGGTGTTCATTTGACTTTATTTTTCATGAAAATTGTCAATTAAAGGAATATAATTTGTTTGAATTGCCAAAAAAAAAATGGAAATTTCTAATAAATAAATAAATAAAAGATGGCTAAAACCGAGAAAATGTGGCAATGATGGAAAATCAATTCTTGGGGAAAAAAAAGTGCAATCAAACATGACAAAAGTAAGAAATGAAATTTCAACTCCATTTCCATGGAAAAAAAGGTCTATCAAACATGCTCTAAATAATTATAATCTATTTTTGGAGAAGCAAAGTCAACAAATAGGTCTTTTACTAAAAAAAATAAATAAAAATCTCTAATCATCAAAGTATATATTATAATAATTTTTTTTATTAGTTTATGAATGTCATCAAGGTATGTATTATAATAATTTTTTTTATTAGTTTATGAAATGCCTTCCAACTACAAATTAAATTTATAAAATGGAATATTTTTTTTAATTAATTAATGGTAGCCGATAAAAAATCTCTGATAATCAACGTATATATTATAATAATTTTTTTTATTATTAATTTATGTAATGATGGCCTTCCGACTACAAATTAACATTGTACAATGGAATATTTTTCAATTAATTAATATTTGCTTACATCATCATGCCATATAATACACACATACATACATACCTTAGGATTAATTTCATTTTTGGTTACTAAAGAAATCTCAATTGAATCAATCAGATTATTGAATTTCAATTCTGTCTATGTTAGCCCTAGTTACTAACATTAACGTTCGTACATGGACATTATAAATTAACGACAATATGATATGTCTTACATTTCGAGATAAATATGCCATCTAATCATGTCACGACAGAGAAATTTTAAAATAATTGGATAAAATTGACGACAATTCATCTGACGAGGCATATTCGGAGCTCTATTCATCCCCCATTTTAAGATTTTGTAGTGATGACATGAAGATTAACAGATTTATTTAGAAATTAAGGCTAAAATAGGATTTTTAAAGTCAAGTTTAGTACCGATAAATACATGAGTGACAATAGCTAATACTGTTACTTAGTAGATCATTTCTATATGTACTTGTCTTTTATTTCTTGATAACTTCTATCTACCTCAAATTTCTAAATTTCTTGCTTATTTTGAAGAATTATTTGGTATGTCCACACAAAGAATTCAAGAGGTTATGGATAAAACTTATTAGAATTAATTAGTAAAAACATTAACTTATCACGAAATTAAGTTAAAAAGTTAATTTTTACTTACTTATAAATAAATTTCTTAAGCTTGCCCAACATGAAACTATTTCTAGGTTTACAAGGATATTCTCATAGACTAGATATATTTTCTTGAACTACAACATTCTTGTACTTATATAGGACAGAACAATATGGTTAGATTATTTGTACCTATATATAAGACACGACAATACAGTAATAAGAGTAAATATTTATGGGTTTCCTTTTTTTTTTTTTTTTTTTTTTGGGGATGAATGGCACAACTTTATGGAGACTTAACACAATTCTATTTTAATTTCTTTTTTTTTTTTTTTTTCGATCGTTAGAACTATGATTCTATTAGCAATTTCAGTAGATTTCGCGATAAAAAATTCTTGTAATTGACCTTGAGAGTAAAATTTTTTTAGTTATTTCCTCAAGAAGTAGATGAATACAAGTTATTCCACACTAGGAAATACACAAGAAGACAAGCACAAAGTTTCAGTTTCCTGCCAATCATTGAAAAATTATCTCTCATTATTTAGTATATTTATATTAGCCCAAGTCTTGCAATACATCCTAGGTGTCTTCTTGTGTTTCTTAGCAACGTGTTGCACAGAAAAGTTAAAGCAGGCCTTCCAACTTTAATAATATATAGAATCCATTTGGGACACTCACTTTAAATCGACAAACTTTAATTTTCAAAAGGAACATACATTATGAGCCTGTTTGGTAGGAATTTTTGGGAGAAGAATTGTTTTTGAATAGTGATATGATGGGAAATGTGTGGTTGAAAAAGAAGAAAAAAGTATTGATGTGATGGAAAATATTATTTTATTGAAGAATGTGTGGTTGAAAATGAGAATTGATTTGAGAATTGATTTGAGAATCTGAAACAAACAGGGCCTATAATTAAGAAACTAGACATCAATGTTTGTTAAGATAAGATAGTGTTTTAAATACACGCGATCAAAGGTAATTATTTTATCGACAAAGGGTATCAATTTACGTTATTTTCGTCGGATATATAGAATCAGTATCTAACGCTTGACTGCCGTTTAATGTAATTGACATCATTTTTACGTTATTTTCACCGTGACCATAGAACGACGAGTGCTAATTTGGCCGAACGAATGCTCGTACTTGAAGTCATGATATGTATCATTTGATATCATGAAGATCACCTCAAGGCCTCTCTAGGCTATGTACGTTGATAATTATAATTTTTTTGCTTTTTTGTTTGGTAGCAATCTAATCGTAATTATTTTCATTTTAATGTCAACTAGCACTTGGAATATATAATTGCATTGAGAAAAGAAATTAGACCAAATCAGTCGACGCAAAATTGTACATCGTTCTGGGCAGAGGATGATGTTCTCAGTACCAGACCTTATCCAGACTATGCCCTTATTTGATGATCATTATTTGGGAAAAACAATATTTTGAATAGTAAATTTTTGAAGAATATTTCGTTAAAAGGTAGAAAAAGGTTTTGAGTTTACGTATAAAACATTTTATTGTATGAATGTGTAATTGAAAATAAGTATGCAGAATAAAAAGATTTGAAATAATAGTTGTCTAATAGGAGCTAAGTCAGACCATTTTACACCTCTGACTATGAGAGAAACATTAAAGCCTCTATTTAGTTTTGTTAAAATCAGATTTTTAGTAAATTTCGATAAAAGTTAATAAAATATATAGTGGAAAAGTTAATAAAAATGGTAGATTCTATGAAATGTGCGATTAAAATTAATTGTTGATTTTAACTTCGATTAAAATCAACTTTTTTAGCTAAACCGAAAAGGGACTTTGTACTTCTTTTGAACAAACTAATAATCTAACAACAGTGGAGTCGTCGATTATAGATTAATACTTCATAGTATACTGAATGATTTGTTTACAACAAAATGCAGAGAAAACTCTTTTAAGGGAAGCAATGAACACTAACCAAAGTTGATTAATGCTTCCAGCCCTTTGAGTGACCATCCGCCATGTACGGCTCGAGAAATCCTATGAACTGCGATTCACATTGAATTACCTGAGTCCTTATCTTCATTAGGACAAAGTAAAGACCTTTACAACCATACCTTAGTTCCATCTGCAGACCATCGTGCACCATAACCATCCTTAATCCTTATCTCGAACACGACTCCATGTGGTGGAACAGTATGCATATTCAGCCAGCTACAACGAGTTAGTAGGCAACTAACAATGTCCATGGCAGCCCTGTTCTTTTCCGAATCTGGACATGCAAATATGACAGTCAAGAACCTTGTTATCCATGACAAATCTGTAAATGACTAGATACTACTACTTTGCCTGTAGTCTCTATGATTAACATGCAAAATTTTATTTTGGCCCCGTTCGGGAGTGATTAAAATCCAATTAAAATTGAAAATATGGCCGTTATTGGGCCCCACCCATCTAATAAAAGTCAACAATAACGGCTATATTTTCAATTTTAATCCGATTTTAATCCCTCACATACAAGGCCTTTTATTTTAAAAAAGGACAGTTGCTCAGGCAAACATAATCCTGTAAGGCACTTGCTTCAACTTGTGAAGCATTAGTCAATAAAGCCTCCAATCAAATCTCTACTTGAACGAAGAGTGATTAATATCTCGGGAGAAATATTTCCTTGCAACAAATTTGTTTTTCAGAACAAATCAGGAAAGTATAGCATTTAGATGCTCATATTTTTTACATGCATATGCGAGTTTAAATCTAAAAGAGCCATAACATATTGAACTGACCGCTTCCACATAGGGAGCCCCAATATCCACTGCTGCTTCTACTGACATGCTTTGCTAAGGCCCTCGCTCCATTAGTCAAGGTCGAGCCTTTAACCTCAAGTCAAGAGAGAATCCATGCATAAGCAAAACTACATACCATTGTAGTGACATCCCCCAGTGACCACATATACAATAAGTCGAATCACAATATGAAACAAACCAAGACAATCATGATATAAACCCAAATACATAATCTACACAGCCTCTTTTACCCTTTTGGAGATCCAATTTGGATACGGGAATGAGCAGAGGAGCAGCTCTTTCAACTACCAACATCCATCTAATCCCCCAACACGCTCAAGAACCGAGCACCATCCAGAGACTGGACAACATGAGAGGGCTTTCACTTCACTCCCTCTAAATGGAAATACTGAATTTATTTTGTTTCATTTTAAAAATAGTTTGAACTGTGATCAAGCTATCTGAAACTTGATTGTCATGATAATCGGAACAAACCATATCACCCATCACATAACTACTACCCACTTATTATCCACACATTCGGTAAGACCCACAACTTATAATCACTTAAATTTTAATTTAATCATTCATCAAACATGCACCAAGTAGCTAGCAATCACAAGTATGTATAGACAGGGTAAGGATTTTTAGGTCCCATCACTTAAAAGGATTGTAGTAGGACCAAGATGATGAAGTTTATAAAGACAAGACATTACCAAGAATCTTATGGTAAATTGCAAGGATATAACAGAGAAAATATCAGACTAAAAAACCAAAATGAATATCAATGAAGAAGCAAAAGATAACAAGGCGATGCCATTGAATTTAAAGTAAAATTACTTAAAAAGGAAACATCACAAGTCATTGTCATACATTCGTATTATGTGGCAACAAAAATGAAGAGAGCAGCACTGACGGTGGAGGAGGAAGTGATTCTGTACTTGTTCCCGTTGTCTGGACAAAGCCCAAGAGCCGTTGAACTCCTCCATAACTCAATCCCTATGAAAACATAAAAGTAAAATTAAATAGTAAGCAACCTAAAATAATTGTACATTGCGAAAATTTTGGAGTTATCTAGTATATGACCCATATTGAATAGGAAAATATGCTTCAATAGGTGATACATCTTGTACAATGTCATTCAGGTTGCATTTCTGCTCGTCTTCATGTTATGTATATTAATTCAAGAGACCAGACAAGGACACAAATAAAATAAGGATGATTCTTGCTAGCCGATTGTAGTGTACAGTAATCACACTCCCCCACCCCCCCCAAAAAAAAAACCAAGAAGACTGATCCTTTTTGAGAAAATGGGTTCTGTAATAGTGATATTTGAATAATGTATGGTTAGAAAGTAGGGAAACATTTTGGATTTACGTGTAAAATTATTTTATGCGAGAATGTGGTTGAAAATGAATTTTAGTGAAAATGGAGCTCAACAGAGGCTATATAAGCTAAATTCTACTTGGATAGCAATGTATTAGGAATATGTGGAGACTACGAGGTTCAATCATTTCTGGGGAGACAAAATACAATTCACTATCAAGGAACCATTTTGATTGGATTGAGTCATTTTTATTCAGTAACTCTATGAATTCTAAGGACAAGTAATTTTAGGAATTGAATTTGATTTCTAAAATTCTGGACTGCGCAGAGTCACAAGACACCAAATGGTCACAATGGAAAGCAGTAGAATGAACCACACAGGAGACTCCAATCATATTATGAAAATCTAGAAATGAAGACCAAACAAGATTTGCAATCCTCTAAGGACACTCACCCGAAGTATGGAGGCCATACAATCGTAAAGCTGAGAAGTTGGTTTTTCAATACAAATAGCAATAACTCCATTCAACCTTTCCTTTTCTTCTGAATAGAAATTCCTGTAGACTTGCACACCTAAAAAATGCTCCACACCCATCACAATTAACATCAGGAACAGGAATTCCTGTTAGAATGATACTGTTAACTTTCTTCTCTCTCCATCATTTTGTTATTTAGTTGGTCATCCATCAATAAATTGCTGAAAAGAACTGCATATGCATTAACTAAATCATTTAAAAGGTTTTAATTGTAATCAGTTTTGACATCAGGTAAGTGTTGTAACACTTTCCTGTAATAGAGAATAATCCAACTTGAAAAAGGCTGCAGGAGAGAAGGGATTGGAGGGATTAAGGGCTTGTTTGAGCCCCATTTTCTCAAAAAATCATTTTTCAAAATTCATTTTCAACCATACATTCTTCAATAAAATAATTTTACACGTGAATCAAAAACTTTTTCTTCTTTTTTAACCACACATTCTTCCAAAACCACTATTCTAAAATGCATTTTTTCCCCAAAATGGGACTCAAACAAGGGCTAAGTTTGACTTAATTTGAAGTCGTAAATGGTTGAAATTATAAGGTTCAGGGTTATAAGCTAATGGTTAGCAGAGTTGATGACCTTGGCAGGTAATGCTGAAGAAAAGGATCCATATATACTGATTGAAGATGCTATGGAGAAAGATTTCATGGGAGTTAAATTAAGAAACATTTCACAGGAGTTCAATTAAGGTTGCAAGAAATTAATGATTGAAAAGGATCAAGGAGCTTCAATGAGGCAAAATAATTAGCTTTCTCAGGACTGTCTATGGCTTCAAACAATAACACAAGACCAATAATTATAAGACAACAGTTTACCCACATGATTTGAGGACATTGGGTTGAGGGGACTCTTTGGGGGTTTAAATGCTTGATTAGTGTTTCTAGTATCGCCAAAAAAGCAAAATATACACAAACCAGGTGCAGTTTTGGGAATTTAAATGAAGATGGATAAAAACAGAAAATATAACTACGATTTGAGAAATGGTGAAGGCAACACCACCTGAAGATAAAATAAAAAATCAATCAAGATAATCTGGAGGCTATAAGAAGTGGTCAAGAGCTAGGAAACAGAGAAAAATAAGGTTGATGGGTAGGTCAGTAAAAATTAAAAATAACATGAAATGAAGCGTGCTTAAAAAGTTAAGGCTGTAGAATCTCAAAGAACATCATACAAAATTAAATCTAGTTACAAAAGAGGTTTTATGTAGGTCACAGTGAATGGTTCAAAGAAAGGCTCTCTTAAGTGGGCGGGCTTGAGTTGTGTACTTCCTGACTTGGATAAAAATGCAAGACAGCAACGAGGGAAGTCATTAACAATGAAAGGACCCTGCAATCAAAATAAAAGCTTGGGCTATACTACATAGAATACTATAATTTAATACTTGAGAAGAACAAAGTTTCGTCAGTTGATTGCATGCAGAAGTGTAACAAACACAAGTTATGAAGCCCGAGATCAAGTATTGATCTCAGCTCAGCATAATCACGAAATCAGTCAAGTATATTTAATAAGTTTAATCATACTTGATTTTTTTAACGAGCTTCCAATAGTTTGTATGTTCTTCACAAGTTTTTACTCAATTTAAATTCAACAAACGACGTTAAGCAAAATTTATATCAAATAGGTATACAACATAGTGATTTCAAATAATAAAAGATACAAAACTACACCACTGCTATCGCAGTCAAGAGAAGTTTTATCAATATCATCATCATTTGGTTGTTGGGAGGCAGTTGTCCTTTGCTCAAAAAGAAGACATAATGGTTAGAGGTATGAGACAATGTACAATCCTTAATGAAGCTAGTAGAAAAATATGAATTCAGAGTAGCAGTTGTGCTATGGAGATACTGTACATTCCTTTTAACATCTCTTGTTTCTTAGTTTACATAATAATTTGCAATTGAAAAACAAATTTTTGCATGCTTAAATCAATAATCCCACAAAAAAGGATGGTCTCTAGAGCAGCACTAGCAATTTAAAGAAAATAAAAGGGCTACCTTCTTCAATATTTTCTACTCCTGGAAGAACTTTTGCAAGGCTCTCTGCTTCCAACATCTCACGAAATGAAGCATATTGGTGGATGTCCTGCAAGTAATAGAAAGTTTACCATGAAACTCTACTTAGTATTAATTGTTACAAACTGCATAGGGCATATTAACACCTGAACTTGAAGCATCACGCATTTGTTGAAGAGGAGTATATCTCCTGATTTGATTCTAGCACCCAAAATAAGACATCATATGAAAGAGACGCATCAATAACAAGCTTCTAGATTATCTGGAGAAGCAAAGAAAGCTCAAATATATAGAAGGTACTGCTTTGCTAGGGGAATGGCCAATATTTCATTAAAATATAGTAATTTTCTTGACATGAGATAATAATACTTGATAACTCACGTATACCGAACATGTATTTTCCTAGAATAATTGAGTGTAAGAAAAGATCCCTTCTCCAACACTGTTTAAACAAAACAATCAGCTTAGAATGGCAAGTTTAAGAATTTAATATTCCAGAGAGACTGGAATAGCACTTGGCCTCTCAAATTCTTTCAGCATGAGTACAGCTTGTGTTATTTCCTTCCCAGAAAGTTTCCTCAATATAAGGAAAGGAAAAAAAAGCTAACATATCACTGGAGCCCCTGACAAGCAGGAAAAACAGAGCAATGATTCTCATAATTAAGCCCCCGTTTGGTGGAGATTAAAATCAGTAGATTTTGATCAAAGTTAATGAAATGTGCTGTTGAAAAGTTGTGGGTCCCATAAAATATGTGGTTATAATTAATTGTTGATTTTGACTTCCGCACCAAGCAGGGGCTAAGTGTAGAGTCGTGCATTCGTTCCGGTTAGAATGTACAGATGTATGTATCAATTGTATTCCTTATTCAGCTAGGAATTAACGTAGTAATAAAATTAGTTGTCCTATCTTGAACAAGATTGTATCTTGTATAATATGATTGAAATAGAAGAATAAAATCATTCAGCAAATTATCAATTATAAATTATTCTGAATACATTGCTACTTATGCACCAGACTACTCACTACAGTTTGGACATAAGTCAGAACGAAAGCACTATAACAATCAAGAAGCTTTTCGCTTAGTAGAAAACACAGAGAAAGTATATAATCAAGGTGAATATATGCAAGGCCATGAGAAAAGAAAATGAGACATACTGTTTGTAGTGACCAAAGGCACACCTTCCTTCAATTGTTTTTAGTCCATCTACAAGCAGGAGGGAAAAAATTAGCCTAAACCAGATATAAAAAAATCCATCAAGATAATTACGAAGATAATGGAAATCAATCAGATAAAACCGTAATGTATAGGCTTCAAAGAAAGCAAATAATACCATTAAGCTGGGAAAAGAATGGCTCCTGAACGTGAAGCTCAAAGTCCACCTTTGCCAACAACTACAACAATGCAACTTCCATCTCTGAGCGAAACCAAGAAGCTTTTACAATGATATCAGAATAAGTAACAGGAATACGGGAAGCTGGGTTTTAACTTACCCTCAATAAAGCCGGACCCTTTTCCATAATTAACTTATTCCACTCATCTACTTTCTGCTTTAACAAATCGTCTTCTTCTGTCGGAATAATTTCATTATGTCCCACGCACAAGGCTCCAGAAGATATAGATCGATAAAGATAAGATGCTAGGCGTTTGTATAAAGGATACAATGGAACTCCTTCAGAATCTTCTGCAATAAGTGGGCATGAAATGAACTAAATAATAACTTGATATAATAATAAGAAAAAATGTTGGAACAAACTTTTTCTGTTTCCTTTATATTATTGACTCGGCTGGCATATAGGTTTGGAGTCTTTATCACTTGTCGTTGGGAAGGCAGATTTCATAGGTAATAATAATATTGTTACAGCTTTCTGCTTTGTTAGAATTACATTTTATGGGATCCTTTTGTCCCTTATTCTTCCTAGGCGTTCCTTAAAATTCATTTTCAGATTCTTCTCAGTTTCTTCTATCACTTTTATCATATAATGTGGTACCAGGATAAAAGGATCTTATTGTCCAGTGCAAGTATCTACAATGCAATAAGAGACTAAAAAAAATTCAGTAGAGGAGGTTCTCTATTTAACAAGTAAATCGAAAATAGCCGCTGGTCTTTTGATACTTGCACAGCTAAAAAATTCAGTAGAGCATTAAGTTTCTAAACAAATGCACAGCTAAAAAATGTTTACATAAAAGTCTTATTCTTATTCATGTAATCTGCTCAAAAATGGAAATTTTCTGCAGCTCAAAGAAAGGCTCACCTTATAGCACAAGATATAAGACAGGCATGCAGAAACAGATCTAATAGATTCTTGCATCTAGGATTCAAGGGAGTGTTCTAATCCAATTGAATTTCTGGTAGTATGCCATAGAATAGAAACACACAGTATACAGCAGAATACAGATTCCAGGTACAAAACATCCTGAAAATAGTTAATGCTAGCGGCTGGTAGCAGAGGGTAGGAGTGTTAAGTGGGGGCGAGCCACTCACCGGCTCATCCCACAAATGAGCCAAGTTGCGGGGCACGAGCCAAACAGCAAAACCCTTGCGCGACCGCTCGTCGGCTCACTTGAGTTGACTCGCTAGCCACATGAGCTCGTCAACTCGCACACGAGCCGGCTCACCGTCTCGTCTCGTAAACCGAGGTTCAAAGAGCCTATTGGCTTGCCTAGCTGTGCAGTTTGCGATTGATGACCCCTGCGTCTACAGGGTGCCATCATATTATGATGCCAAATTCAAATTTTGCAGTTTGAATTTTTTTTGTTTAATTCAAGGTCTATAAATAGGGATGAGTGGTAAACCAACTTCATCACATTTCAGAATTCTCTACATTCTCGCTAATATAACAATCTCATCTCATTGGCATTATAATTTTGCAATTATTATACAGTTGTTCCTTTGTATCTCGTTATTTCTTCAATTCCAACTTTCTTTGTACTAATTTAGTTTATTAGTTGTAGTTTCTATTCCTAAAATTTTCTACAAATTTTGTTAGGGATTACAATAGATTTATGAACCCCAATGAAGATGCTAACCAATTCTTCGGTAGTTTCTATACTCTCATCTACGATTTTTCTCAAGTCTGCAATGTTTCAAATTCGAAAAATGTTAGTACTACCAAAATGATAACTATTGAGCCTAATGAAGATTTAGAAGAAGCGAACTCTACAAAGAGATGAAAGAAGGCAAAAGATTGTGAGCCTACTTCTGAATGTTGAAAACACTTCAAGAAAAAGAAAACAATTGAGAATGGAGAGCAAAATTATGAAAGTATATTGCAATTACTGTAGACAAGATTTCACATGAAAACCAAAAACTAGCAATACACAATACAACAAGCATTACAAACAATGTCTTGTTCGTATTGGGGTTGTCAACGATAGGCAACTCAACTTTAATTTCATTAAATCCAAGAGGGAGCAACTCTTGCAAATTGGATTTTATAATACAGAAATAATTCGGGAAGGCATGGTAATGTTCATAATCAGTGCCGAGTTTCCGCTATCCATAGTAAAAAGTGTGAACTTGAATATAAACATGTCTTTAACCAAAGTACAAACCTATTAGTAGTGATACACTTCATGACAATGCAATAAATTTATGAAAAGTACAAATTATTGATGATTTAAAAAATTATAGCGGTGTCATTCCATTTACTTCCAATCTATGATCCAGGAAAAACCATAAAAGGATATATTTGCGCCACAGCCAATTACATTAACAAGTTTTGGATCATTCATAAAAAAATCACTACATTAAAGTCATTGAATTTCCACACGATGCACAAAATATTTTCAATTTTTGATGGGTGTAATTAGAGCAAATTTTGTTGCCAAGATAAAGTACGTAGTTTCACTTTTGATAATGTTAATGTTACCACTAATGTTATTGAAAAATTGATTAACCAACTCCATCTGGATTTAGATGCAAAGCTTTCAAGTGCATTGTGTTATTAATATTTTTAATTTGATTGTGCAAGATGACCTTCAATATATTGCACCACAATTGACAATTTTTTTTTTTTCGATAATCGTGGATGTTCGGGTCAGCTTACGCGCACCTCGACTAATTCCACGGGGCCCTGAAGTTTACGGTCGGGCACTTACCTCAGTGGCCCTGAGGGACTCGAACTGGTGACTATTGGAGAGCAAACTCAAAGTCTGACCAATTGAACAACCCCTCAGGGTTAACAATTGACAAATATTAGACTAGCTATTGTTTTAATTTATATCTATCAGTCTCACAAGCAAGCATTTGCGAGTGTATTGTAGATTCTAACTTACCAAATGGATGTTTACAATAAATACATGTAATAGGTGGAGCTCTACATATCTCATGCTACAATCTTATGCTAATTATGATATGGTCATTACTAATTTTTATAATGGTGAGCATTAATATGATTCTGATTATGATTTAAATTCTAATGACTAGATAGTTTCATTTGAGATCATGAAATTTTTGGAGGTTTTATTTTATGCAATCAATGCATGCGCAAACGTCTGCTATCCCACTGCTCCTATTGTTGTAACTCTATTTTTTAATATTGCAAAAAAATTTAGTAAATATAGAAATTGTTTAGTTCTTTATAACATTATTGCTAGCATGGAGATGAAATTTCGAAAATATTGGAGGACTTGTCCATGTTACTCCCTCTAGCAACAATTATGGACCCTCGTATTAATTTACGGGGTTGTAAAGTTATTAAATTTCTTCACATTCAACATTTGATATCTTCGTTACACATTGTGATAGAGAAATTGCTTTGTGGAATTTATATCTCCAAAAAGCTGCCAAATACGGTAGAAAGAATGATTCACCACCACAGCCTTATATAGTTTCATAATTCACTAATGATGATGTATGGACTTATTTAAGTACATCTACCACAAGAAGTTCATCATCTTCTCATTTTTATTCTAATGCTAGTACCACACAAAAAGAAATTCTTGTTGAGTATAAATATTTTTCATACCATATTCCTAGTGTGCTAAACCGAGAAGATAAATAATTTTGATCTTCGTAGATGGTGAGGAACAAATGAAAAATAATATATGATATTATCTTTGATGGTATGTGATCTACTAACACCTTCGATGTCAACTGTAGCATCGGAGGTTGTGTTTAGTACACGTTATAGGTTCTTCTAGTTGAAAGAAGATAAAATTTGAGGCTCTAATATGCTTGAACGATTGACAAGATGTAAACCACCGAATAGAATACAAGATAAGATGGCCAGTGTAATTGTTAAAGATTTTCAACAATAACAATCTTAAATTTTTTGGTACGCTAAGTTTTAAATTTATTGTATATTGACATTCATTTATTTTTTAAAATAATTGTATACAAAATATTCAGCCGTCTAAAATTTTAACTCATATTGTAGCCGGTCGCAAGCTGGATAAAGTTACAACTAATAATTTCTTTCAGAAAATAATTTTTTACATTCACAGTATAATTTGGAGTTGTTTTCAAAAAGAGCCACGAGTGGCACGCCAGCCTGCTCGGCTAGGCCTACCCACAAAGGGGAGCCGAGGTTTTCAAAAGCAAGTCAGCTCGTGCTCAGCTTGCCCCATTTGCGAGCACAAGCTGGTTCGCTAGGTGTGCTATCGGCCCATTTAACACCCCTAGCAGAGGGTTGTCATCTGCGAAAGTACAGAACAGAGCGTAGACAAGAAAGCACTGCAAACCAATGTATGTAGACACCAAATAATAATCATACAATTTACACAAAGAACTACAGAAACAGAATGAAATCAAAGAACGTCTTGCAAGAATTCACAGTGAAATATTTTAAGGTATGGGCAACAATTATATTATCGTGTCTAAATCCACTTGAGATCGGATTACAGGGAAGAAAAAAACATCTAATTCATCTAGGAGAAAAACGTACAACCTTTAAAACACAAAGTAAATGAGAGAACTAGTATGCTTAGAAGGAGAGGATACCTACCAGTGGTGAGATTATCGTTATTTTGAGTGGGGAATGGATTTGAGAGATCATCTTTGAGGAGATGGACGCAGTAATCATCAGAGAGATCCGTGTTGAGTTTGCCTTTTATTGAGGACAGGAGCGTAAATTTGATAAGCTCTTCTATGCAGTCTTTGAGTTGGGGTTCCGAAACTCCCGGCGACGATGGCGGCGGCAGCGGTGGTGGAGGTGGCGTAGGCTCCATTGCAACTATTGATCTTCCAAATGTTCTTCCAATTTAACTGATAGTCGATATCAATGGTTCAATTACCTATATTATTTTCACTAGTGTTATCTCAGAAAAGTTCGTAAATTTGTTCAAATTTAGCTGAACAAGGATTAACATTCTATTAAAATTTCATTGTTTGGTTCTGAATTGTGTGTTTTTTATTTATTTATTTATTTTTTTGGCTCTAAAGAGGAATTTAATTAAGGGACGTCTAAAGTGCAATGAACATGGTTAGACTAGCATTAATTCAATTTTTTTTTATTTTTTATTTTTCCAATTATCAACATCTTATTTTAACCAAAATCTTTACATTTTCATATCAAATTCTCCATTGATTTTTTTTTTTGGGCACTTGACTCACTATTTTCAATGACAATTTCTTTGCTCTCGAGTTTGATAGTCTTTTGAATGAAAACTTCTTGATTATTCTTTTTTTGGGTCATTCTGAAATCACACTCTAATATATAGTAAGATGCGTGAAAATAGTCTGATTCAAATGTCCAAATAGTTCAAATTCGGTTTTGATAAGATGATGATTGTCTATCAGCAATTATGAAAATGATAAATGAATAAGTAAATAGAACTTGCACATTCCATTTAATACAGAATATGTAAATAGACCGATTGCAACGTGTAGCCAAACAAGGGCTAACACAATTAGCTTAGCTTATTGGTAAAAATGTAAACTACGAAATATGTAAATGAGAAGTGATTTGATCGATTGTAACATTTAGTCAAATTAGAGCTAGCACGATTAACTTAGCTTATTGGTAAAAAAATAAACCGTTAATGCGCCTAGTGTATTATTGGCACTTTTCGTGCCGAATACTCTTTCACACAACTTTTAGTAGTGAAAGTAAAAGTAAATATTCCTTCTTATTAAGAATAAATATTCCTCGTTATTAAGAATAAATTTCATTGTGTAGATATGCATTAGATTCGAATATTAGACTTTGAGTTTTGAATCTATGATAGCCGAATTATTAATATATAACTAATGGTATGAGTTGATAGCACATTGAGTACTTGGATTCTGTATGAAAGGGGTAAATTTCATTAATTACAATTAAGTTACTAAAGTATATTTTGTCTCAATCGAGTAAATGAATTTCAATTTAGTTTCAACTCGTTGACGTGGCATACCAATGTGCCAGGTCATAAAACTATTGAAATCAAAACATCTCTTTAATATTTTTAATTTAAAGACATTTTCATAACCCTCATTTTACCATTTTCGTTTCTAGAGTGCCACGCTCTATGGAAGATTAGTTATGGTATGGCTTCAACAAAGCAATTTTCGTCAATTTGGACGATGATAGGTGATGAAATGTAACAGCCGTAAAATTTAAAACTAATTTGAAGTTCAATGTCTAAATTGAGAAGTCTAGTTCTCGATAATTGTCTGAGGCTGCACGTGACAGTACGTGTTAAAGAATAAATTTAACAAGTAATAAATAGTTCCTCTTTAACCGTTTAAACTTTTGGTTCGAATATAATTAAAGATATGCTCCCCAAATTTTGTGCAACTGCAATCAAATTTTCACAATTGAAGGTTAAAACATTCCTCTACAACTAAAGTAACAAAGATAAATTGCACAACCAAACAAGAAAAGAAGTATCATTAGAAGCATTATAAAATCACTTCAGCTTTGCAGGAAAGAAAACTTCTTGCTATTTAATTGACAATTCATTTTTTTACTTTGTAACTTTCGCATTCGGTAACTAGCTAGCTACATAATAATCGACCTTCTTCGATCTCTGGATTATCGTTGCATCGAGAGATTGTAAGGGAGGAAGAATGGAGTTGGCTAGCTCTTCATTCAATTTGGGAAGTGGAGGCATCTTCTTCATTGTTGGAGTCATGTTGTCCAAGCTGCAAATTTCACAATAAAAATATAGATATGGAATTGATAATGGAAATAAAAGCACAATTTTGTAAAAAAAAAAAAAGGAGAACTTCGATGAATGGAAGCTTTAAGGGGCTGTTCTCTTTGTGTTTCAAATTGTATTTTGAATTCATTTTGGGTTTTGTACTTTGGTGTTCATTTTGAGATTGTTGAAAATGTGTTCTTTTTGGCATTTTGAAAACGTCCAAAAATGCATTTTGAAAATTTTGGCTTGATTATAACTGAAAACACAAAAAACGACAAATTTATAGTTTTGAGTTTTCTTTTTAAAATTTTAACTTGTTTTCAAAAACGTGTTTTCGAAAAGAGTAATGCTATTCATCCCCACTGGGGATGGAAACACAGTCTACATGGCGTCAATGTGCCATTAAATGATAGGTGAAATTAAATAAGTCATTTAATTTCACCTTTCATTTAACCTATCATTTAAA